AGGAGAAAAAACTTCATTACATATTTAGATTGAATAATTTTTTTTTTTTTTTGTAAGCAACATTATAAGTAAAACAAAATCTAATTTAAGGCACGTGGAATTCGTGATAAAAAAAGAAAGTTTCATTTGGCCACGTAATCCTACTTCTTGAACAAAGACTCATGATTTAGTAATGTATGTAAAGTTCTTTAAGCATTAGGGTTGACCTACAGTGAACTAAAACACAATCCCGTAATAAAAAGTGTGAGTTAAATGTTTTACAAAAAAAAAGTAGCGTAATTGAGTTCTTGTATAAAAAATTTACATGGCAAAAAAATTATATAAACATTTAAAAATTTTTATACTTGACAGTTGAAATCCACATTGAAATTATCTGACTGACAGGGAAAATAATGTTAAATTCGCAAAAATAAATGTATTATATTGCTTCAGAGAAAAAAAAAATATCTGAGGGGGATTTTTTTATATTATCCTACCTTACATCATTTCTCGTTCTTTTTGGGTGAGAATATATTTTAAAAAAATTTCCCAAATTGAACTTGTTAAATTATTTTGTGAAATTTAAATAAATCCAAAATTCAAAATTTAGGAGTGAAATGAATATAGTTAAATGAAATGTTATTTCCAGAAAAAAAATTATTCAGTTAGTTTTATTTTTTTGTTTTAATTGAGATGATTTCTATATGAGACTTGACATTTTTACAAATAAAAAGTAGAACTTTTTATTAAATGATAAATAACTCTACTTTATGAAATATTAACTAAGTTTGTTTTTATAAGGAAGAACAGTGGCTTACTTACTTATATTCTGAAACTACCAATCGAAAGCTGACATAATTATGGATTAAACGAGCCTAATATGAAACATTTTTGTTAAGTCAAAAAAAAATTTAATTTAAAAGAAGGGTTTTAATTTTTTTTCGCCATTCGAAAGAGCAGGAAAAACCTTTCTAAATCATACAGGTCTAAATTTTTTTCATCTTATTGTTTAAAAGTTAGAATTCTTCAAAAATTCATTGTTTAAATTTTTCAAAAAAATTCAACCCCCTCCTACAGTTTTTGATAAAACCTAACAATACTTCGTGGTTACAGTACTTACCCACAGGGCTAAACTATGTGCACGTTACAGCTCGATCTGACCAACTTTTTTTTCACTTAGTACGCTATACAGGATTTTTACACCAGATATAAGAAATTATAGAACTTTCTTGCGCACTATTCACCTATATCCAAAGTTTTGCTCGTTTTCCTAGGCGGCTATTTTCACATGATTTATATTTATCTCTTTTCCTGTATATATATATATATAAAATAGAGAGCAGAGGGCGCTAATGAAATGCAGTTTGAATATTCAAAATATGATTCCCCAATGTACAATGTTAGAGGAATATTTCTGTATATTCATTTACACGAAATAGTTACTGTTCTATTATTCATATATACTATTACTACTACTACTAAAACTACTCGAAAATATAAACGTAAATATATATTGCGCGATATTTTTGACACGTATGCAGTAACATAATCTGCTACTTGAATGTTTCATTTTCGTGAATATCGACTTTATGAATTTTTCATGTCATATAACAAATTATGAGTATATATTATATTCAGCGCATTTGACAATTTTGACGTTTTCCACATCATAAAGTACATTTCCCATTATCAGAATTTTTGCACACAACTTTATGGGTACCCTCATCAAGTGCATGACCGCATGAATCATTATATATCTAGATATATAATACTTATCGTATATACGTATATAGTGTCAAAGAGAAAATGAAAATCAAGACGCCCTTTTAAGAATTGCATCTTATTTTTGTATATATTTTATTTTTTTTAATTAATTATTAATATTAATTTTAGAAGAATTTTTTATTATAAGCAATAATCATTCAATATTAATAATATAATGTATATTCTTAAAAAAATAAACAAATATTTTTGTTTCTAAAATATTATTCTTATTATAAGAATATTATATCCTCACATAGAATAAAAACGCATAATTTGTATTCTTGAATATAGGAGAATAGATATTAATCTAAAATTTAGAATAGCATTTTTTTTTCTTCATTATTTCTATACAATATTGTACAATATCGACCAAAGTTTAAAGTTATTGCATTTAAACTTATCGCTTGACGCAAATTGATTCAGATTCGAGTTTTAGGTCGCACTCTTTATCCGTTCTAGAGGTTTATTAAAAATAGAAAATTCAAATTGAACATTAATTTTTAATACGATAAAATATAAACTGAAAAAAGTTTTATTCAATTCAAATATGATTTATTATTATTTGAATTAATAAGAAATATGTCTCAGAGCTAAACAATTATTCATTTGTTTCAAACTAAAATTTTATTTACCATAAATCAAATTTTTATTAGAATAAAATAGAAAATTTATTTAAAATAAATAATTAAATAAGTAGGTAATCTCTAAGACAACATTATGAAAATATTTCCAAAATTTTTTTTTTTAATTTTTAAAATATTCAAATATATTTAAATTCTATACTATTTATAGCACCCGCAAGTTTTTTTTACCTTGAATATTAAAAAAAAACGAATGACGATGTGTGAATTGTGTCGTCAAATTATGATACGAATGTTTACCCTCACAGCCTTTCGAAAACCATTAATTTCATGACCACGTATGTGCACTTTCCCTCTTTCCATGGTAGAATAATTCATCACTTTGTCCTGCATGTGCTGTTGCTATCCTAAAAGAAAGACGTGGTAGAGTCACTTTTACGTTATTTGTCATGCGACTCTCATATGAAGGGATGGACAGTCTTTTATATATATATATTATATATTTTGTATATAAAAACCATACGGAAAAAGTCAACCCTCAAAAAACGATGATTCTTTTCTCTCGATGATGATGTTTTTCTTTATTTTCTTTTTTTTTTTTTACTGTAGAATATTGTCTGGTCACGAACTTTGGTCAGACGTTACATAATGAAAATCCCTGAGGAAGTGACCCACAAAATAACCCTGCTCACGATCTTACCACTATTATCGTAATTTGTTGATTTATGTGATAATCTTACAAAGCGATCATATAAGTTTTACGTCAATTATACCATCACATAATTATAATATATCATCGAAATCTAAAATTTTTTTATTATTGACAAATAATCAAAAAACGAACAATAATTTATTTTTTCATTTTTTTTTTTTTTTAGAATTATTTAATTTAAAAAAAATGTTTATAAACTACATTAATTAAATATTATAATCATTAAAATGAAAATAATATTATATAATTATTATTGAATAAAACATTTTTTTTTTCTTTTAAATTATTGAGTAATTTAAAAATATTTTCTATATAACTTATTCACAAGTGTGGTAAAAATTTGCGTTATACATTTATGTATATATATATATATATATATATATATATGATTCTTCGTTTAGAATCATGAGATTTAGAAAGATATTTTCGAAAGGTATGAACTCAAAGTACCGAAAAATATATGTAAGGAGATCACGACTTACATTAAGAAGTTGGAAATCATTCAAAAAGAGTTGAACGAATTCCAAACGATTTCGTGAAATTTTAACGGATTTCACACAAGCAACCGCAATTGAAAGACGTTGGAATGCCATATCTTTGTGACAATAAAACATTTAATTACTAATAAATTTATATGACTATTGTCCCAAGTTTTAGTGAAAATTCTCTGAAAATTTTATTTTTGTTGTTGTTTTTTTATATTGTCAAAATTGTACAAATAAATGTCTTATACAGTAGGAGACAATTTTTTTTTATCAATTACATAAAATAATTGAATTTGATCATTCTCGTTGGTTTTAGTAAAAGTATAGATAAGATTAAGTTTCTAAAAAACAGAATTTCATTTTAAAAAATTTATTTTTTTATATCAACAGTAAAGGATAATTTTTGCCAGACGAAAATTTTCAGCATTCCTGCGTAATTTTTTATATCAGTAGTAAAGATCAGTTACTGTCAGACGTAATTTTTTACGAATTTATCAGTAGTAAGAAAAACAATTACGTTTTTTCTTATTTCAGTAGTAACTGTTCTCGTAATTGTTGATATCAGTTAGTAAAGATCGATTTCTGTCGGATTGAACTTCACAGAATTACTGTGTTTTTCATATCAGTAGTAATAATCCGTTACTGTCAGACGAAATTTCTCATAATAGTATTCTATTGTTATTGTCAAACGTTGGTTAATATCAAACAAGTCAAATTCTGGTGATTCTGGTATGAGTAGTAAAAATTACTTTAAGTCAGACATGTCGTACATTGTCCGAAAATTCATGTAACAGTAGTACAAGTCAGTTTCTGTCAGGCTATATAATTTCTCAAACTTGTGCAGTAAAAAGTAATTTCTATTAAACTAAAATAGTTTCAAAACCAATAATTTTGTCATCAGTTTCTTTCAGTCAAAAATTGACAAAATTTTTGTAATTACTACATTTGAGTTTGTTAATTTAAAAAAAAAAAATTGATTTGCAACATAGAAACAGAAAAAAGGAATTTAAAAATTATTAAAGCTATAATAAATTTTATCAGATGATTTAAAATTACACGTCACATCGATACGGGTTAGCGCGAATGATACATGCCTGAAGCTCTGAAGGAAAAATTGGCCCACGATACCCTTTTTTTTTTCTTTTTTTTTTATATGCGCTCTACCAAGTCATCCGATCTCATTTCAGATATCCGAGTCGTCGGCTGATTGGCTGCTCGGTCGAGCGTACGAACCTTACGAGCACATACGATCTAGCAATGCTTCCGTTTTCCCTTTTCCTACCCCTTTCGCCCTTCTCCGTTTTCCCTCGGTTTTCTGGATTTGAACACCGGGGGTCGTTCGTCCGGTATAGGGGCCCCGCCCGTTTTATGTCGCGCCCAGCAAATTTGATCGAGGTTTTCCCTATGCCTGCTTAAATCACTTTTGTTTCGTGATGCCTGCGTTTTATCGTCATTCACATTCTTACGTGACTGTTCCAGGAAGCGGAGAGCGCTATTGGTGCCATGAATGGCCAGTGGTTGGGGAGTAGAAGCATCCGAACGAATTGGGCCACACGTAAACCACCGGCACTTAAATCGGAAGGTGAGTCCTTTTTGTTGTTTTTTTCTTCATTTTCTATATATACGCATATATACAATATATTCTATGCATTTCTTTATACATATACATGTGTATTTATTTTTCAGGAAAGTGTGCATTTTGACAATTGTTATTTTATATTATTTTACAATTATTCAATTTTTATAAATATTGTTTATCATTTCTTTTTATTAAGAAAAAAAAACTAAAATCTCACTGACATAGTTTAGTGAGTTTAACAATTTTTTTCTAATTTTTTTTTTCACATATGCATGCTTTCCTACATTATTTTCGCTATTTTATTAAAAGGATCAAATTGCAACGAATTGATCCTTTCAAGAAAACAGTGTTGCAAAGAATTTTGAAAAAAAAATTACTAAAATTGAATAATTAAAAATTATCTGGAAATGAAATACCTAGTTAATAAATAATAACTATGGTAGTCCAAAAAACTTCGATAGCGCAAAGGTTAAGATAAAATAATAATAATCGTTTGAAAATGAATTAATTTTAAAAAATAACTAGCAAGTGTAAAATAAATATTCGAAGAAGAAAAAATTCGTAAATTTTTTTTGAAAGTAAGAAAATTTAAAATTCAGAAGTGAAAAAGAGAGAGAGAGAGCAATGATTTAATAAATTAATGAAAAGATTATTGAGTGCTATTATTGCATTCGATGACATTCTTTTGATATCAAGCACTTTTAAAGTGCGTTCTTTAAAGATATACCACTATAACCATTCCCAGAGTGTTTGCTAATCGATATCTTCAGAAAGAGAATTCGAGAGGGTGCTTTTTCTTCTTGCTAGGTCGCGTGGCGAAAAAGAAAATTGCAACTTTCACAATGTACCATTCTTGTGTCTCACAGACAGCTCAATTGCACATTCAAAATCTAATAACGTACTTTTGGATTCTCTTTTCCTTTCACAGTTATACTCTTGACTTACACCAATTCCTTCATTCTTTTCAATTATAAACGCAAAGAAAAAAAAATTACAATTTTTAATTTTATATCTTCATTAAATTTATTATTAGAGACTTTTTTCCATTAATCATTTATTTTCTCTTTTATTCATTTCTCCATTATTTATTTCTCTCATTTTTTCTTTTTGTCTTCTTTTTCTATTTTATCTCTTTTATTTTGTTAGAATGGAAAATAATTCAAAGTAGATACTAAAATTAAATTTTGGTGGATTAATATATAAGTACCCAACCAAAAATTTCAGTATTATACCAGAGTTGACTACTGGCGCAGTACTGGTTCAGTATTGGCTGCCGAGGCTGGTCAGTCTGTACTGAACCAGTACTGGTATTTTCATTGTATCAGTACTGGTACAGTACCACCCTCACAGTACTGGCTAACCAGTACTGAGCCGATATTGAGCCAGTACTGGCTCAAATAGATTTTCTTTTTGATTAATACTAGTTTACAAAAAGTTCTAGAGTGAACCCAATGATTCTTTTTGTTTAAATATTTTGTTCATCAAAATTTTTTCAACTTGATTTTCTTTTTCAAAATTAAAATGTACTTTATTTTGCTTTTCTGTGGGTAAAATTATTTAAACAAAAATTTTCCTGAGACCAAGTCTAAAATATTTTGCAAGATTTTCTGTTTGTTTTCAAATATATGCAATAAACCAAACAAAATTTTAACAGATCAAACTAAAAATAAATAAATTATATAATAATAAAATGCTTGTTTGTTTATAAAAAATTAATATTTTTCAAAATAAAATTTATAATATAAATTTAATTTAAAAAATTAAATACAATCGCAAGTAAAATTGCACAAATGTTATATTATCAATAATATAAAATATATACACGGAAAAAAAGAAAAAGTAACTTTTACTACTTTAAAAGTAAAACTGGACCTGTCCGAAGTTTCTGCGCATCTCTGGCAACTTTTACTCCAAAAATAGTAAAATTTACTTCAGAAATAGTAAAAATTACTACGGAAACAGTAAAATTTACTACAGAAATAGTCAATTTTACTATTTTTCGAGTAAAAGTTGCCAGAGATGCGCAGAAACTTCGGACAGGTCCAATTTTACTTTTAAAGTAGTAAAAGTTACTTTATTCGTTTTTCCATTTTTCTCCGTGTATAATTAACCTTTCTTAATAGAAATTATAAAAAATAGTTAAACCTACAAACTTATATATTTCAATGGTCAATAAAATTATTGTAATTTGTTTCTGAATGTTATTCTTCAGTTTTTTTCCAAAAGTGAATTATAAACAAAAATTTAATGTTAATTTAAAAAGTAATTCAGATAATTTTTTTAATAATTACCTAATTTCAGGAATTTAGTATATTCATTATTTATTAAATCATTATATTTGTGATGAGTTAATTTGTAAACTAATTTTGTTTTATGTAAATTGAATTGAATTCAATGTTAATTTATTTATATTTGATATAATAATTAATATTAATTAAAGTGGATAATAAAATAATTAAATAGTTAATTGCATAATTATATACATTATAATTATTTCATAAACATTTTTATTTTTACTGAACTGTATTTTAGATTATAAAAACTTTGGTTTTATAATAAACATATTTTTATATTTATTTTTTGATTATTTAAATAATAATTTGCAATATATATTATAAGATGGAATGAAAATTCTTGCGGTGTTTTCGATTTTATATAATATAATATTAATTAGTTAGTTGACTAATTTAATTAATATTTAATTTGTCTTGGGTTACTAAAAATTTCAGACACTTTTTCCTAAGTATACCAAGAAAGTATTACCTGGAGTGAAACTTATCTCTGTTACAGTTAAAGCTTTCTTTTCGTATACAATACATTACAAAACTGCCAGCACTCGGCCAGTACTGAACCAGTAGTGGTTACCAATACTGGTGCCAACTCTGGCAGCCAATACTGGTAAAATGTTATCATCCCAAAGTTACGCCAACTCTGGCGCCAATACTGGGTGCCAGTACTGCGCCATTAGTAAATTTTTGATTGGGTATATATCTATAAATTTTAGTAATGTTTTAATCAATAAGTTAGTGTATATCAATTTATTGGAATTTAATTTTTTTTTCTATAAGTTGAACACAAAGCAGTCAGTGAGATGTGCATATTATATATATATATACATATATATGTATGTGATTTATGAACAAAGGCTGCACAAGAGCATTCATATATATATATATATATATATCTAGAACGGTTATTCAGAATGGGACCCATTTATTTATGGGAACAAGGGGTAGATTTTTCTCGAGCTTTTCATATCCACCATTATATGAAAGAAGATTTAAAACGCACCTTAGATCCACTCAGATTCCAAGCATCAACTTTTCTCTTAGCACTTTAACTGCCTTTAAATTAATCTATTAAAAAATTTCCTCCATCCAATTTTATTGTACAAGTCTCTAATTTCAAAAAATCATCTATATTATACTGTTTTCTTTATACTCGAAAGTTTCATCTTGGAATATAATATAGGTATAATTATTTGAAGAAAAAAAAAACAGGAATTATTTTCCTAACAAAATTTATTCTTTTTATAATTAATTAAAAATAATTTTTATTTTCTAAATGAATTGTGTGTGACGTAGAAATTTATTATAAAATAAAATTTGTTTTTCCCGTGGATATAATGAACATATAATACATGATAATTAAATGTAACACTATGGCGAAGCGAAGTATTATTATATTATCATAAGCGGCTTTTTGTGCCATTCAACGAGAGCTCCGCAAGCCTGCAACTAACTAATTTCATTCCACAAGACTTTAATTAGTATTCGTCGCCAACGTCCAAAACTTTTTCACTCTAGACCAGAGGTTAGAGAGCATCGCTAGCGAAGAGAATCGAAAGGGTAGATTGCAAATTTAACCTGGTCTGTATTACTGGCCTGTTCGCCTACATTTGCATTCACCACATTTAGTATTCCTTTTATCTTTCATTTTCTTCGATAGTTCGATTTTGTATATATTTCGACTTTTAAGTCCCGATTTCCATCAAAATGTTTTCATATCTTTCTTTTCTGTTCTTTATTTTTATAATAAATTAATATTAAATAATGTCATCCGCTTAGTAAGTTTTGGCTCGCTTCAATGTTTTCTTATTTTTCATTCATCCTTATTTTATATTCACACTTTTTTCATTGTCCTAAAAAAACTTTATTAATATATACAATTGCATACAAATTATTTTAATTTACTAAAAATTCATGTTTAATTTAAATGTTTTTGTATTATCATTCTTTAATTTTCTGTTTTGTACTTTATTTTTTCTCAATAATTCTTTATGTTTGCTTTCATTTTTCTCTTACAATATACTTAAATCAATGAAAATTTTTGCGACTCTTATCATTCTTGAAGAGACTCAACTCAAAAGATGGAAGAAGAAAAAAGACACCACTAAATTTGACGAGGTGAATTCTCGTTTGAAATAAATTTAAATTGATGCTCAAGGGGAATCAATGGAAATGTCAATCCACAACAGTATGAAAAGCCGACATTAATTTGACAACTCTCGAATTGACATTCAAGTGTAAAATGAAAAGAAAAAAAATCATAATAATAATAATAATAATAAGAAGAAGAAGAGAATGATAAAAAGCCACACGTCAGTAATAAATCTCTGGTATTCTCAAAAGACGCGTTCTGTGCATAGTAGAGAGGGAACATTCTCAATGCGGGAAATTCGCTGACTTTTCTTCTAAAAATCGTGGAATTCTTGATCGACGCTGAGTGTGTCTCGCGACGGACTGAAGCTTCGTCGTTTTTTAGCGCATTATTTTGGAGCTTTCCCTTCTTTTTCTTCTTCTACCGCTTGATCTGAAATTCAAAATAGTTTACCTTGCTTCCGGGATGGAAGCAGCGTCTCTCTCTCTCTCTTTCTCTACGTCGATGAAAGTAGAGGAAAACTGCAAAGAGACGAAGGGCGATGATTAATATTTTAGGCTGCAACAGCCGCCACACACTGGCATCCTAGTTCAATTTTTCAAAAGGGCTGCTGCTGCTACTGC